GTGTGTGTGTGTGTGTGTGTGTGTGTGTGTGTGTGTGTGTGTGTGTGTGTGTGTGTGTGCGCGACTCACTTGCAGGACTTGTGTGAGCAGGGCTTGAAGATGGCAGAGATGGGGTGGGCGTAGCAGATGGGACAGAGGTCTTCCTCGCTGGTGGGCTGAGGACAGAAAAGACAAACTCATCAGTCACTTTGTTGTCTCAGTTGCCGGCGTTCGCCCCAGTGCATGATGGGACATGTGAGTTAACGCCGCGGGCGCGAAGGGAAACACTCTTCCCGCAGACATCAACACCCGCTCTTCACACTCGCTGCCTTCTCAGCCCATCTGCTCCCTTCATATGTTTTCACTTCACAACCTTTCTTCACTAGATTCAGCCTCCACTCCTCCTCACCTCCTCCCAGCACCTCCCTCGCACACATCTGTAAAGTTTAGGTGCCGGTCAGCGTGCTCATCAACAGAGTGAAACTCCCACAGAGGGGAAAGGTCACACTGACAGTTTAACAAACGGCACAAGCTGTTTGGTCTACATAGATCATTTAAAGTCTGCATCGTTAGGGGTGTGGCCTTTGACTGAGAGGTGTCTGATAGGCTGAACTGGACCTCTGCTTCCTGTTTGTGCTGTTGGAGCCTTTTGAATGAGTCATGTGACCAGTAACATGGCTGCTGTGAGGTTACTGTACTAACAGAGCGTCCAGAAGGCGGAGCTCCAGTTTCTACCTGGGCGTGACTGCGTGCCCATCAGCAGCCGTCTCTGCTGCTGTGGATAACACCAACACAGATCTCTACCTGCAGAAAACCAACATCCATCATGGTAACGCTGCCACAAACCTGTGGGTGATGCTGCACCCACTCATCTGAGAGGGAAACACAAAGACTTTCAAAATAAGAGAGAAAAATGTTAAAAACGTGCATAATGATTCCAGCCTCCCAAATCTTGAGCTGCTCTGTGTGGCAGCAGTTAACACGTCCACACAAATCCCTCCTTTATGTATTCCTTCCTTTGACTCCCACCCTCCCGCTGTCCACCTGTCTCTCTCTGTTGCAGCCACACAGCACGAAGCCTCCAACCTATCGACACCTGGATGTCACGCCTCCACCTCCTCCTGCATGTCCTCCTCTGTCACTTTTCACCACCCACTGCACACAGCAGTCAGGCTGCTGCTGAGAAGAAAACCTCCTGAAATAATCTCGTTCAGACTCTGAACACCCCGTCATTTGAATCGGTAGACGAGCTTTAAACATGTTTTCTTTCAGAAACAGGTGGAGTCTGTAACACACTGTCACTGTAACACACTGTAACTAACACACTGTCACACTGTCACAGTAACACACTGTAACACTGTAACCTACTGTAACTGTAACACACTGTAACACTGTAACTGTAACACACTGTAACTAACACACTGTCACACTGTCACAGTAACACACTGTAACACTGTAACCTACTGTAACTGTAACACACTGTAACACACAGCGTAGTGTTAGCTGTGCAGCGGGGAGCCACTTCATAAATGGACTGGACCCGTGTCAGCGCCTGCCCTGGGTCGAAGATGAAGATACTGATACCAGAATCCAACAGTACAGCTGTAGGACAGGATGCTTCGGTCCACCCGACGCCGCCAGGCTGCACCTCAGTGATGAGCTGGTCCAGATGTGGGAGGAGTTCCCCAGGATGCCATCCATCAACTCATTAAGAATGACGTGTGTAGAAGATGCGTGGCAGACTCGACCACGTTCTTGTACTTTCAAACGCTTTCCTTTATTTCGGTTGTCATCACTTACACACCGGGCCAGCCACACATACACAACTCAGGACCCAGTTCATTGTTTTTATGCGAAGAGGCGTGATTGCTGATGGTGCTCCGGTGTGTCAGCCTTCCCTGCCGCCACATCACAAACTATGCCCACCACAGCGTGACATCGAGCATGTGTACAAGCACGTGGGGGCCGTCCAAACTACCGAGCGCCCGCTGCATCATGTTTTCACATTGATTTTCAGGGCGTCTTTGAACTGAGCCCTCTGTAGGCTGATCACTTCCATTTCCATCGACCTACGTGGCGTCCTGACACGCCACCCGTCCACATCAGTGCAGATATCAGCAGGATTTTCTGATGTGAGTTTTTTGGGTCACCCTTATTCTCCCTGAGTGGCAGGTGTGGGTTATAAACAACCGAAATTCCCAATAAGTTAATTAAAAAAAACTCGCACACAGCATGCCGTCAAAAGCTGCTTCCAGGGAACACGCGGCAGGCGGGAACCCGCCTGTCGGGTGATTACCCGTCACCTCTGCTTTCTTCTTCTCTCTCTCCTCCTCACCGCCGTTAATCCCCTGCGTTTAGAGGAATCAATACTCTCTCCCTGGCTGCGTCTCCTTTCAGCACCTCCTCCTCCTCGCCTGACACCTTCCTCTCCTCTGCCGCTGATTGTTCATTTAAGTCTCTGAAGACTCTGGACCTCTGACACCTCACTCTCTCAGCTCAGTCCGCTTCCCTTCACATTTTCCTCCCACCTCACCTTCATCTCATTTCATCACCTGATGTTTTTCTCTTCTCGCTGCTTTTCGACTGAAGATTAGAGAAGAAACCGTTTACTGAAAACCACCTTTGTTTTCCAGTCCTGAAACCAACCTGCGACTCTCTGATCTGAGTCTGAACACTTGTGTTTGTGATGAAAGAATCCCGTCCCTTTAAATTTATTCTGTTTTTAACGCTAACTGTGCAGCTCTCGATTGAACGAGGTCACATAATGAGCTGAAAGCAGCAGCTGACATGAGTGGAAAAGTGGCAGAAAGATGGAAATGAGCTGCTGGTGACGAGCCGACTGCATCTACAGCAAAGCGGCTAAATGTTAAAATTATGTTTTCATATGAAGTGATTTACGCCCACTCGAAGGTGTGAAACGCTCTGATAACAGTGGAGTGGGTCTCTGCTCAGACTGTGAAACAGATCAGTGTCAGAAGAATTACAGAGCTCGTGTTTTTCACAAGAATGGGCCGACTGAAGCCTTTTACCGGTCACACAGTCAACAGCGAGAGACCGAACCTGCACAGGTGTAGCCCACCTGTCAGTCAAATAGGCCACGCCCCTAACAATGCAAACATCCCCCCCAGCATACAGGTGTTACGAAGGGGGAACGAAACATTTCTGCTGATGAGGAGCAGAGAGATGGTCACTTCCTGTCTGACAGGATGAAACGTAAACACTTTCATTGACACATACTTTTTTCTGCAGGTAAACTCGTGAGTCGTGCACGCTCATGCACTCCTGCTGCTTCTCTCCATCTGCTCCTCGTCATCTTCAGCTCCTTCTCGCCCTCCTCTTCTCTAAATCTGGTGTGAAAGCGCAGCCGCTGGAGTTTCCCTCAGCTGCCGCCTCCTCGCTCTTCAGCAGCTGTCGCTCTGATCCCACCTCCTCCACACGGCCGCACGTATGCAAATCATCATCAACCTCTGACTCCATTACAGGAGACTTCAGATAGTTCAGCTCATTAATATTCATTCTAACAGATGAAGTAAGAGAGAGCAATCATCCTTCAAGACCTCAGTGAAATTAACCGTTAATGGTCTGGGAACGTATTTATACTGGCCACAGTGTAAGTCCTCATCAACCAATGAGAATGCAGCATGATGCATGGATCACTGACATGCTGTTTCCACTGTAAAAATAAATACAATATCTGGAGATAACATCAGTCCATCCACAGGGGCCACGCTGAGCTAACATACGTGTGCTGAACACTGCAGATAAGAACATGTCCTGAGACTTCCTACAGTGGACCGATCACAGGCACTCACTGCAGCATCACGCTGTCCTATCAGCTTCTGAGTGCAGGATGCTGAGGGTTAGCTTGATGTGGCCTTTTGGGCTGTCCTGCAGGTTTTAGATGTGTCCTCGATCCAACACAGCTGACTTAAATGGATAACTGACCTCCTCAACATGTCCTGAAGTTCTCCAGAGGCTGGTAATGAACTAATCATTTGATTCAGGTGTGTTGACCCAGGGTGAGATCCTGCAGGCCTGGAGTTCCCCACCCCTGAGATAAAGAGTGAGTCTGTACACCTTGGACCGGTCACCTGCCTGAGGATGTTGGACCAGAGCACGGTTTGGTTTTGGTCTAAAGTGTCTGACATGAGAATCAGCAGTCTGATGCTGACGTTCTCAGCTGAAGAAAGGTCTCAGGGTCTTCAACGTGGACAGATGAATGGTGCAGAAGCTGAAGAGGAGGAGGAGGAGCTGAGAAGTGTGAAGGAGAAACTGGTTGAAAGACAGAAGCAGTGGGAACGAGCTCGACTGAGTCTGGGCTCCGTCGTGGGTTGAGGAGTTTGGAGTACAGCTGCTACTCCTCCACACTGGGAGGAGCCAGTTGAGGTGGTTTAGCATCTGTGCTTGAAGCCTGCTACAGCCTCTCAGGTGAGCTGTTTCAGGTGTGCCCAACTGGCCCAGGAGAGATCGCTCGTGTCTTGGCTACCTCAGGGCCCCCTGAGCTCATGGAGAAGGTGATCTGTGCATCTATTCTAAGACTGCTTTGGTGACCCTAACATGTGTCTTTGGATGGGAGGAGGAAACTTGAAAATCTGGAGAAAACCCAGAAAAGTGAAGATAAAACATGCAAAACTAAAAATGTTTGGGAAGAACCAAGTTTATCTTTAGCTACCTTTAGCAAACTACAGTAAGGATCATCACTGTGCAGCATCAGAGGACCTGCACACTCGCCCGAGTGAGAATCCTCTGCGGAGCTGAGGACGCACGAGGACGGGATTGGAGTCAAAAACATGAGTCTGACGCGATAAACACAGGAGCCTGCATCGGTCAGCTTGAGTCCTCGTCCTCAGAGCATCGTTTAAATCAGCGAGCTCTGCTGTTCACATCCAATTTGAAGTTCAGGTCCGGTTTCACACTTTGATTAATTTCTAGCTGCAGGAGAACTCTGAGGAGAAACACGACAAAACGTTACCGAAGAAAAGCGTCGTGGCTCAATGCTCGCTGATGTGAACGATATCGTGTCGTTCTGCATCTCACACCAACACGGTCACATGACAACAAACTCACAGGAAGATTTCTGCTGACAGTTCAAACAACCTTACAGAGCTCCATGTGTCTCTGAATCCAGCTGTCAAACACAAGCTGTAACTCATTTTCTGTCCTCTGGTTTATAATT